CTACTCAAATAACAGCGTTCTTACCTATATGTCTTATTTTTATCTGAGATTCTTCCTTGAATATAAATACAGTGGTCCAAACATAAAATATAATTGATAATTTTGTCCCCCCTTTTTTCTACATGTTGGAAAAGGAGAGTGATTTGGTAAAAAAAACATACTTTTATGTATAAACATGGATCAACAAGAGCAATTTATGTATCTCCAAGCTAGACAACTTGCTAAAATGGTTATAAAATGCATTTCAAGAGAGATTTTGGAATTCCTATATAAGTATACACCAATTTTCCTTGAAATAAATAACTCACCAAGAAACACAATAAAACTTGAACACTCACTAGATAATTTGACCAAAAACAATATTTATACTATAAACTAGTCATAATATACAAGTTTCATTGGTTTCAGTGTTAGATAATCCAAAAATTTAAATTTCAGGTAAAATCTTAACTGTGTGCATGCTAAATGACCAAAAAAGGCTAAACTACCTTATTGTAGCAATTTGAGGGCTGTAATTTGACACTTACATAATTGTTACATAAAAAAAATAATGTAACATGATTTCTGACAACAAATGTGACCAATTTTCAATGTAAAGGGTATGATTTCTAAAAATAGAATTTCACATGCCTGTCAGTAATAGGTATAAAACCACTAATTCATAGCCCCATTGCTTTCTATGTTAAATTCTGCAATTTCAAGCATAAATGGCTACTTTGTCTTAAGTTCAAATAAAGTGGCAGTTATTTCATGTCAAAACTGTACCTTATGCTGACTTGTGCTGAAAAAATCAACATACCTTTAATTGCATATTAGAGCGTACTGGTTCCCGGAAGTTTGATAGAACAAAAACAGGAACTTCTGATCTGAACAACAGGCCAAATGAGCCCTCCTATTAAAATTTCATATACTTCTTTATTATTCAAATAAAACTTTCAACAAGAGTTCTACAGTGATCCCAAGTCCCCAAGCTTTCATTTGATACTAAAACTACCCAAATATTCCCACTATTGACAAAGATACAGCTATGCGTAGGAACTATTTTGTTTAAAATATGTACTACTTTCTTGTATGTTCTTTCTGACCGGGCCTGAATTAGTGGTTCTATACCTTTATGGGCCCTGTAATTTGGAAAATACAAAAAAAAAATCTATTCATTGATAAAACGTAATATGGACTGGTCCAGTGTCCAGTTTGCAGGTCATTTAATTTACTGTACACATTCATGCACGCTCTGATTTAATCGATATACTCGTACGAAAAAGCATGAACAGTTTGAAGGTAATCTAATAATAACTTAATCCAATCAAATTGCATAAGATTCAATAACAATGTCCAGTCCACATCATAATGAGTAATAGGGGTAAACTTGGTAGGGAGAAAAATGACAGATATTTCAAGTTAATATTTATGCAATAACGAATTAAAATTTGTCAACCAAAAGTTTTGCTACAATTTCAAAAACATGTCGTTCTGTATGGGTATAGTTTTCGGATCTTTCATTAGCGTATTTAAGGCTATAAAAAGTTTGGGCTTCAAAAGTTCACACAATTATTGACTTTATACAAAAAATTCGTCCTTGTAAAACATTTAATAGTTCACAAATGATACGCGATTTTAAAGTAAAATTATTTCTTAAAACACTGCAAAAAATTTCATTCATATTGATAAAGTGGTATCGTCATAAAGTGCGTTGAAATGAACAGTGGTATAGCAAACATCGAATTTCCTCACAAAATGTTATCACACACTATAGTAAGGGGAGTCAGTTAAGTTTGTTTATTTTTAGATTACAGGTAATCATTTGACATTACGTATACAACCTGTGTGACCTGTGTAGTGATTTTGATTTTACGATAAATTCATGAATGAATGAACGATAATTTTATGAATGAACATGAGCACCTGACCTCTTTCTTAAACACCAATTAAACATATAAAACCGTATTTAAAAGGAGATAATTCAGTCAAATTTTCAGTACTAAATCAACAACTGAAATGATTCCATTTTTTGATGAAACATCGTACGAACGGAAAACGGAATCGCAGGTATAAAAATGCACTTTTTTCCCTTGTAATGACCGCGGATCTATAATTTTTATAGATCGGTTGAAATCCCAAAACTAATTTGCATAATGGAAATTTAGGCGATAGCAATACATCGGAATGACCTGATAGTCATCCTCTGTAAAAAGACAAACCAATTGCTACTTCTATCTATATTGATTTTATACACAATCTGTTATACACTTTCAAATGAGATAGTATATTTACTTTACATGTAGTCTTACATTTGTTTCCTGTACACAATACTTTTGCCTCTCGTACTTGGTGTATATAATTTTTGTATTATTGATTAGGGTAGAAATTATGATAAAAATTACCTTATTATCCACTTTTTTCTAAATGATTTTTATTACTATTTATAAAGAATTAAGTTAATCAAACCGTTTTGCTCCTGAATTACTATATATTAGTCCGGAACAAAAGGTTCGATTTATCTTTTATATATACATTATCATCTATACTTACATCATTACACATCATTAAATACTTATGTGTTTTTTATTCTGGGATTTTGTACAAATGCCCGGCTGAGTGAAATGGTTTTGGGTTACACGCTTTGACGTATAATAAATTTTCTTCCTTTTTTCCACCTTGCACTAAACCCAAATGTAAAATGACATGTTATTAACAGCTTTTGACAACAATTCTAGTTTATATTTTGATTTGATAGTCCTGCATAGAAATATTTCATTTAAAGATGTGCAGTAAACTTTGAATTTACGTAAATTTGTATTTATTTTTAAAAACACGAAAAGTTGTAGGTGCGGCTTTATCTGTAGAATATGAGTTTTATCAAGAAAGGTTATCACTTTTTCGTTAATTTTCTTTAAAAGAGAGAAAAGGTACAGAGGACTGGTGAATTGTTCATGTCTTGGTGTGTTTATTCAAAGGAATTTATTGACATCTTTCTATAAATAACATTGAATACCAAACTATTATCTAAATTTTATATATGCTTTTTTCTAATCATTTTAAAAATACAAGTCGTCATTAAAAAATGAGTAAATGTGGTTTGATTGAGATAACTATCCACCAAATGTTATTGTGGATTATTAACCAAAGTATGCTTATAAGTAAGAAATAAAATACCAAAATGACAATAATATTATTTTCTTATGATTCTCAAAATAAGAAACATTTTGGGGTAATGGTTCGGTCACAAAAGTGTCCTGTTTTTTTGTAATCATGAGTGTTAACCCTTAGTTTATAATGAAATGCTCCGTTGTTTTCTGTTTTTGTTACTTTTTCCGTGTTATGGCTTATTTTTTTTATTGCAATCCTCTTTGGAAGAAAGAGTTCTCAATATAACAATTCCCTTTCTCCTACGATAAACAAAACTTTAACGCATAAACCTATTACGTATGCGTCAATATGTCAAGCCCTAAATCCTTCTATGTCTAGAAAAGTTGTTAATAAAATTTCTGCTAGTAACACAAAAATTCCTAAATGACTAAAACATTTAGATTTAACCAAAAGCGAGGTTCCTGTTTGGGGTGGGCACCTTCATATTGTCTGGATAAAACTTTCATTTTATCCTTTCATTCCGTTGTGAGTTCAAGCGACTTTTTCCGAAACGATTTACATTAGTCTTTCTACGTTAGGTGATTTTTTTTTCAGGAAATAATCAAAACAGAATTTTCTGCGTTCATATATTAACTAGTATATGCTATATTGGGTCCTGATGTTTGTTTCACGTAGATCTAAAGCCTGACATTAATTAATGACTGCGGAAAGAATTCATATTCTTCCTCTATCATTCAATCATGTGTTGTATCATTTACCCCTTTTGTTTGACAGAACTGACCACAATTAACTACATTTTAGCGGTATTTTACGTTTACTGAAGTGTCTATACATTCTTCAATTGTGACAATTTTGTGAGGTTAATATTAGTTTAAGATTGAAAGTCGTAATTGCCTACTCTCTTGAAATCAACTTCCTGTGACGATGTTATATCAGAAATAGAATTTTCAGTCTCTTGTGATTTGATTGTCTGTCATATAAACAGATAATACACCGTCAGTTTCATTTGATGTCAAAATTAAGAAAGAAACAACTTTTCCAAATTATATTTAAATGAAGCTATAAGGCTTTTTTTTTTAGAAAGAAGAAACTGTGATTAAAAACAAAAATTATCATTTATGTAAATGTACAACCACAAAAATAATATTCTTTCAAACACTATTATATTAAAGAACATTTAAATGGTGTTGTAGATTTTTAGGATTGTTACAACGATCGCTTGGGATTATCAGTGACACTTTTTTATACTACAATTTGTTGCAATATAATTCCATTTTCATGATAATGGTTAGATTTATCTTGATTTAAAGTGCATTAAACAACATTTTGCTTTCAAACGTCTAGTCAGACTGTCACTAAAATGTCTTAATCTGTAGTGCAATTATCTGCACAATCATCTGCACAAGTAGACATAAGATGTATTGTATTACATGTATGCTAATGATTTAGTTTTACTAAATGGAGTGTTATCCGTATGTATTTAATAGTCGTCTTTTTGTAATTAAGAAATTCATTGATTTATCCATGGAAGTATTATATTACTTCCACTATTTTGACAAAAACATGACTTTCTGTGTTCATTATTTGTTTTCAATCAGATAAAAAAAGTTTGATAACAATGGCGAAAATTTTTCAGACTATCACACTCAAACCGATCCTATACAAGTAGATGCTTGCGGCAGCATAAGTCAACTGTTTCTAGCTTTGCACTTTTAGTTCATGATTGTTTAATTATATGCAGATAAAAACTGAGATAAGATAAACTTAACACAGCAAAACGCAATTTCTTTTAGCTTATAGTAAACACAAAACACAACGGCCGGCTATATCTTTATTGCAGTATATGTACAGAAATAAATATTTTGATGTAATATGTCATGTCCGTTTTACTATTTCGAGAAGAGATGTCCTTAATAAGCCCCTTTTTTTGCACCATATCCGATACCCAAACCATATCCGCTACCCAAACCATATCCGCTACCTAAACCATATCCGCTACCCAAACCATATCCGCCACCCAAACCATATCCGCTACCATATCCAATGTAATCTCCACCATATCCTCCGATATGTCCTAAACCTAATCCATATCCCTTGCCATATCCACCGTATACTCCGCCATATCCTAATCCAATCCCGCCATATCCTAATCCATATCCGCCATATCCTAATCCAATCCCGCCATATCCTAATCCAATTCCGCCGTATCCTAATCCATAACCACCGTATCCTAAACCATAACCGCCATCATAGCCTCCACAACCCTTACCATAACACGGAGCATGGGCATTTATGCACACGGCTGACAATAGTACAACGAGAGCAATGGTGAGCTTCATTTTTAGCTAAAAATGTTATAAAGATGATAAATGAAAATAAAATATACACAGCAGTAATTATAGGTTATACCATGTCCTTTTCCATATCGGGCCTTGTATCATCCCGAGACTCCCATACCAGGCCAAGGCGCTAGCCGAGGGCTCATATGGGTCGAGGGATGATACCAGGGCCCATATGGAAAAGGACATGGTATAATCTATTTATCACATATTATATATATGCTTAAAAAAGAAGAAAACATTTTGTTATTCCGTCTGGAAAGGTCATACATTTTTGTCTGCCACTGAAATATCTTTATTATTAAGAAGCCCCCAACCGTTCAAAACTATAGTCCTTGAACATTATAATGTCAATGTAAGATTTTCATTTAGTATCAGTGTTTTTTAGTTTATTTCTTTAACAAATACCGCTGTTATTTTAATCGACGTTTCTCGTCCGTCATTGTTCGGAACGTTTTGACATATCATGATATTTTCTCTGGATCTAGAACTCTATCATTATAGAAACTGTTGTGTACGTTAAATTAATATGCACAATTTAATTTATTTTGTATACTATGTATTATTATTTCATTCTTTGTACCAATGTGTATACAATGGTTTTAAAGAATAAAATTGTCTTGTCTTGTCTTGTCTTGTCTTGTGAACGAAATGTATGAAAGTTTACTCAAACAAAATATTATATATTTATTATATTATGTTGAATATTTAATAATAAAATCCGCCGTCCAGCGTACTTGACGGGCTAGTCGGCAAAATTAATTTCATTAAAACAATTGATTAAAACTTGCAGCTCTAAAAAAACATAAGCATTCTAATGAATTATTCAACCCTCCTCCCCCACTCCCAATGAAAAGACACAAAAAAAAGCACAAAGAATTATGATAATTGTCAAGAAATTGCTAGTCAGCAATTTGAATTGACTAACGATATGAGGGTCTGGATGGGGAGTATAAATTTCTGTATTGATTAATGTTAAGACAATTTTTCTCTATTCTTTATTTTTTGCCAATTATTATCTATGTTAATATTTTAGCACACAATTTTCTCTATACTTTATTATTTTTTTTTTCTCTCTGTTTTTTTTTTTTTTGCCTATTTTTTTCTCTATTCTTAATTTCTATTCTTCTTTTCTGCTCATTGTTCTGTTTTTCCCAAATAATACTCTATTCTGTAAATCCCATCCAGATCCTGCTATATTCACAGTCCCAAAAGTCATCATCTTATCACCTACAAAGATCATCGTCTGTTAAACCTTATTACAATTAACTCCAGTTCATTTCTAATGAAAGAGTGAGGATAAAACATAGAATCTCGAACAAAATACAAGATATTTCACTTACCTTTTGAGACGTTGAATTGTGCAGATGAAGTATTTTCAGTGGTTTATATACTCTAGGATGGACCGCAAGATGGATTAATATTGCCAATTCGTCAAAAAAAAAGTTTGACATTGAAATATACGATTTTTTTATTATTTTGTTTTTATCCTTTTAATGACGTTACATATCTAATAAAAATAACCGCTCATTAAAATATAATCTATCAACATGATTTACAATATATATCCTTTGTAATATCTGTAAGTATTGGGTTCGGTTTTTAAAACTTTCTACTGGAATATGAATGACTTTTAGAGGTTTTTATGACATTCCGATTTTAAATTTCAAGTACATTGACTGATGACCACGTGCACACAGACAACGAATGCAACTTTTTTACATGAAATTTTTAGTGTGTTCAATTATCTTTTTTATGTATATTTATACGTAATGGTTCTCATTCTTTAGGATGCAAACGTTGGTTTAAAAAAAAAAGAAAAAACTATTCTTAAACAGCATATGATGTATAATCTTTCTTTTAATAGAGGACTGAAAAGAAAGGTAAATTTGCAGTATGTAATTTATCATTAAAACGTTCTGAATATCACGAGCAGTAGGCATGCCATTTAGCATCACACGTATTTGAAATGAAACAAAAGGCAAATACTACAGATGAAGCCATGAAGCCTTTTAGACTTAAAAATATTTTAAAACACCAACCGTCAGTTAGAAGACAAAATTGAATATCTTTGACAACTGTATATAGTATTACTGTATGGTTCAGAATGCTGCACGACGAAGGAAAGAGACACCAATCGGAAACATTAAAATCATCTCTTTTATTGTAAAGTGTAGTTCTCAACCGACCGTTATTATCCATTTCTAGATGTAAGTCAAAACATGAAACCGTCTTTTCTGGTTTGAATTGTTTGACATTTTGTCATACCGGGGTCTTTAATAAATTGCTATACAGCTACTTTTGCATGTGTACTTTTATAGCGCTATACACTTGGATTTAATGATTTACTACTGTTCAAGTTTTTCGAAATTATTATACTATTTTAGTACCATAATTTCACATGTGCTATGATTAAGCTAAGTTTGAAGTATATGTAGAAATGTATTGATGTTTTTTAAATTTTGAAAACAAGTTTTTAGCGCTTAAACGTTTGAAGCGTTTTATCATGTCTCCATGGAATGCAGACAAATGGAAAAATCTAAAATAGAAATACCAACAAACAAAGTTCGGAAACTATTGATATAACAAAGCACTTGATTTAATAAATCATGTACCATATGCATCTATTCTTGATATACATTGTTTTTGAATAAGGAATTATTTTAAGAGCATAATACTGTTTGATGGTTGTCGTTCCTAGTATCTTAAGAGTATAATACTTTTTGATGGTTGTCGTTCCTATTAATTTAAGAGTATAATACTTTTTGATGGTTGTCGTTCCTAGTATTTTAAGAGTATAATACTTTTTGATGGTTGTCGTTTCTAGTATTTTAAGAGTATAATACTTTTTGGTGGTTGTCGTTCCTAGTATTTTAAGAGTATAATACTTTTTGGTGGTTGTCGTTCCTAGTATTTTAAGAGTATGTTTGATGGTTGTCGTTCCTAGTATTTTAAGAGTATAATACTGTTTGGTGGTTGTCGTTCCTAGTATTTTAAGAGTATAATACTGTTTGGTGGTTGTCGTTCCTAGTATTTTAAGAGTATAATACTGTTTGGTGGTTGTCGTTCCTAGTATTTTAAGAGTATAATACTGTTTGATGGTTGTCGTTCCTAGTATTTTAAGAGTATAATACTGTTTGATGGTTGTCGTTCTTAGTATTTTAAGAGTATGTTTGATGGTTGTCGTTCCTAGTATTTTAAGAGTATAATACTGTTTGATGGTTGTCGTTCCTAGTATTTTAAGAGTATGTTTGATGGTTGTCGTTCCTAGTATTTTAAGAGTATGTTTGATGGTTGTCGTTCCTAGTATTTTAAGAATATAATACTGTTTGATGGTTGTCGTTCCTAGTATTTAGATCATTTCAGTGTTAATCAAACCATATCCTTCATTATCGATTACTACTTTAAAAACGTTAAGATACTACGAAGGAGTTTGAAATCATGAGTTCGTAGGGACCTACAAATCCATAGATAAACCAAGGTTCACAAAACATATCTTGTAATCTTGTCCGCTACACAGAGATTCAAATAGTAAATAGTCATTCACTACCATATCTCAGCTTAAGGCCTGCTCTGAAAATTTGTAAGTCCCTACTATGCATTAGCTAACAAAACTGCACAAAAATCCTTCAAATTTTGTTTCATGTCGGTTTCTAGTAAGTGTTCTACGACTAATCTTTTTGTTCTGTTAACTTTTTCCCCTACTTCTATTAAAAAGGAAATTGTTATTAATTTTTGGAATAAATTAATTAATTATTATTGGAATGTCAAAAACAGTCTTTGGATGTTTTGGATAAATTACGTGCTTTTGATGGTCGATTAAATTTTGTAACAGTTTTGAATATTTGACTCTGTACACTACACTTCCACACAATCTTATAGAACAGAAGTTTTTTTACTTAATTAAATATTCCACTGAAAAATCTGGTTGCAGATTTATTTTCTGCATTTCATATAAAGCCATCTTCTGTAATGAAAAAGGGAAATATGCTAGAAATACTTACTGGAACTGTGATGATATATTTAAAGCTGTAAGTTTTCTCCTTGAAAAAATCTATGTACGTTTCGGCAATAAAGTTCATCGATTAGTTGTAGACATTCCTATGGGTACCAATTACACCCCTTTGATACCAGACTTGTTCCTGTATTGTTATGAAACACGGTTTAGAGTAAAGGTCCGTCTAAATTACATTTAATTGATAAATTTAAAAATTCCTACCGTAACCTTGATGATATTTTTTATTTAGATAATTAAGAATTTTCTAATTTACTGCGAAAATTTAATACAGACAGTAATTATTGTCCTTTTTTATTTGGATACTTTAGTGTCACATGGGAAACTGTATACAGTAGTTTATGATAACAAAACGATTTTTTGTTTTGTTCCCTACTGTTGATTTATTTCCCATTTTTAAACGAAGATGTTCCTTTGGTCCCTTCTTGTGTATATTTCACAACTTGTTCGCTATGCTCGAGTCTGTTGTCGCGTTTAGATTTCAATGAACGTAATTTATATATAACTGGTAAATTATTAAGTCATGGATTTCGTTACCACATTTTAAAATTTTGCTCATTCTTTCAAGATGCAAAGATTTTGCTACGAAGTTTGGCTGTACCTGTAGAATTATCAAAAACGGGATATTTTGGAAAAATTGACATTATATTTGGACTTTGAAATTAAAATTCATCACCGATATCACTGGAATTACATAAATTACATTTCCTTTCACTGCGGTCAAAGTTTTGTCATCTCCCTTTTTCTATAGGCAACGCATGGTTACCTTCCCTAAATTTACATAAAATAAAAATATTTTTGTCATCTAGAATGTTTAGATAACTCCCAAAGTCTAATGTATTCTTTAACAGTCTATAGTTTATACATTTTGGAGACTTTTGTATCGACGAGTACCACTTCTGCTTGTATTGGTCAATAAGCCTCATTTTGATGCTCTGAATTAGCCATTTTGAGAAATGTTAATTTGTAGATGGAAAATATTTGA